GAGAGAGAGAGAGTTAGAATTTGGATACGGGGTTCGAGAAAGCTTATCTCTGGCGTTAACGGCCAAAGGATTGGAAATACAGATGGATTGAAGGGCCTCCAGGTTTCCATCTCGCGCAAACGTGTGTATGTCTTCGGAATCTGAAGAAGAAACCCTCTGTCCCCCTCCCATCTCTCTCTCTAACCCCTCGCTCTCTCTAACTTGAAATATTTATTTGAGCTGCCCACTCTCCCTCTGATCTGAACTGCAACCGTTTTAATTTTTCTTCAAATTGGATTTCAAGGAACCGTCTTTCTTGGAAGGGCTAGAAGAGCTTAGACTATGATCCCGCGGGAGCGTACCACACCTCGAATCCCTTGCACAAAACACCAATTTAGAAAAATTATTTTAGTTTAAAATTTTGCTAACCGCATCAGAACTACTAGATGATTATTTTCAAAATAAAAATTTGAGTTTTGTAGCAGTTAGATCTACCTCATAAAAAATTGACGATCTCTATTCAATCTTGAGGTATTATTTTTTCTATTACATAGTTTATTTTGGAAAATTTTCTTAGTGAATTAATTTATGGATTATAGAGATTACATCCCAAAATTTGAAATCTAAAAGGTACCCCTAGTGTTATACAAAAGAGACTAAATAGATAGTATACACCAACGAGAGTAGGAGATCTTTTGGCAACTTAAAAATTCATTCACATTGTACATATTCTATGCAATACTATCACAAATATAGTAACAGACCTCATCTAAGAACCGTAACAAAATGATCAGAATATCAAAATCTTTTTTTTTTTTTGGTGAAAATATTCATATGTTATTATGGTCATTCCATATGGATTTTATAAACTTTGAAATGAGAAATACGGTTAGGCATATCTTTTACTCGAGGGAGTAAATATAGAGCGTCCTCCGCCGTTCCATAATTCAAGTCTCACTATTATGTTACCAGGATATTAATATTGAGTAGAAAAATTATAAGGGAAATTACACATATATCTATTATTTTAAGCATTGTTACAATTTTACCTACGGTTTTCATTATTACATTCAAAATTTCAGGACTCTTTTTTTTTATAACCAAAAAATAAGAGTCTTGAATTTTTTTTCCAAAATTGCCCTATTTTTTTTTATCTTAAGGATCATCACCATCATGGCCTTATCCTAATTAATTGGGTTGGCTACACAAATCCTAGTCTATTGCTTTGTCCTATTAAGAGTCATACCCTCAGTGATGTTATAAATCCCCATATAGATCAAATAAAAACAGAATTTTGAATTTCAAGATCTAAAATTGCCTTGTTTTTGGATCTTTACGATTCGAAATAAAAAAAAGGAATAGCAAACTATCAAAGTCCGAAATTTCCCTATTTTCAAATCTTTTGTATCCCAAATAAAAAACATTCTAGACTCCAAATTTCGTTTTGTAATTTTGGGATTTTGAAAATCTGAAAAATTCAATCATAGGCTATGTTTGATAAAATAGGATTTAAATATTTAAACATTTGAATAAGAGCTTTGTTAGCTTTCTATATTTCTGGATCTCATATTATTTTTATATATTTTGCCTCCTTATAATTCAAAATTTTCCCTGAAAACCTGTACTTGGTTTTTTTTTTTTTTTTTTACAGAAATCACAGATTATATTAAAGATCTAAAAAGAGATTACAGAGTCAGAGACTAAAGTCTCAGATGAAATGGTACCTCTTTTTGTAAGAAAATCTGTCAGCCCATTAGCTTCCCCATAAACATGCACAAAGGAGAACACAAAGAACTAGCAATGTCCCAAATTTGTAGCAGCACCGATCTCAACTCCCAAGGAGACTTCTGCTTTCTGTTGCACCAATTGATGACGTTTAGAGAATCCCCTTCAATGATACAGTAATGACCCAGATTCCTAGCCACCAAAAACTTTAAACCATGAAGATGTGCATAAAGCTCTACCTAATTAGCAGTTCTTTCACTAAGAGGAGCAATATAAGTAAAGATAATACTACCATTCCAGTCTCTAACCACACCTCCAAAGCCCGCCAGGGCTCCCTAATGAACTGCCATCAAAGTTAAGTTTAAAAACCCTCATCAAAGGCGCAACTCATCTTCCTTTAGGCCCGCATTTAATGAAACCTATCTGAAAAAGATTTGGCAAATTTCTCCTCACATCCACTTCTGAAATGTCATGTCCTCCTTTTGTCACAGAAAGATAAAGCCAAACTGAATGCAAAATCGTGTCCATAATTTTCTCAAAAGGCTGACTTGTCCCATTAAAAGTTCTTATATTCCTCCCCTTCCACACCTCCCACAAGATCACGCCTCTCGTGATCTGCCATATTATCAAAACCTAATTGAGGTAAAAAAAGAAGTGAGACCCTCAACCTTTGACGGCATAACCATTGCAACCCCAAGCTGGCAAACAAACCAACTCCAGATTCTAGAAGTGAATGGACAGTGGAAAAATAAATGAGCACCTATTTCACTCTCCTCCTTACACAACAGACATATATTTGATAAGATCTTTCCCCTCTTGATGAGATTATCAATTGTCAGAACCTTCTTTTGAATTGCCAGGCATAGAAAAGCTTGAACTTTAAGAGGTAAAGGTCATTTCCAGACCACAACAACTTCAAGCATGGTCCACCTCCATCGATCATGAAACAGTAATTGGTATATCGACTTAACCGAATAGGCTCAATCTTTGTCAATATCCCACACTACCTCATCAGCAGCATTGTGAGAAATGTAAACTTCATTAAGTAGCATCAATAAGTCAAAGAATTCAGCAAAGAGAGAGTCTGAAATCCTATTGTATAGAAGATTAATATTCCATACCATCTGGTTTTCCATGCATTCAAAATAGTCAGAGACAAGCGCATTGGGATTGGCCATCCTCTGAAATACAAGAGGAAACATATATTTCAAAGGTGAAGACCCTAACCATTTGTGACTCCAGAAAGAGATATTGTGTCCGTCTCTTAGAGACCACCAAATGTCCCTACGAATGAGAGATCTACAAGAATGAATAGATCTCCAACAATATGACATCTCCCTAGTACCATTCCTTGATCCAACCTACATTCCAAACCTATCCACACCATACTTTGCTGCGATCACTTTGTGACACAAATGGTCTTTGAAATTTAAGCTCCACCACTGATTGACAAGTTTGACTCTCCTTATTCCTAAACCACCTTCACTCTTGGGTGTGCATACCCTATCCCATCTTAGTAGATGAAATTTTTTCAAATATGTAGAAGAACCCTAGAGGAAGTTCTCATTAAGGTTTCAATTTTCCTAGCAACTGACAAGGGGATATGCAATATGGACATCTGATAAATAGGTAAATTTGATAGGCACGCCTTGACTAGGGTAATCCTTTCCCCCAGAGAAGAGTATTTAAATTTCCACATATCAAGTTTCACTTGAATCCGTTGGATGATTTTGTACCAAACAACAATTGGGAGTCGACCGTCCATAATAGGCATCCCCAAATACGTGATGGGGAAGTTCTCCACTTTACACCCCAACACCTTTGCCATTTCCTGGACTAAAGCTTCACTACAATTAATACCAACTATTGTTGTTTTATCAAAATTAACCTTAAGGCTTAACGCAACTTCACAGCATCTCAAAAAGGTAGCAATATTGCTAACCTGGTCAACCTCAGCCTCACAGAACAATAAGGTATCATCTGCATATTGCATATGGAAAACGTAGGGGCCTCCATTTGGCATTTGAAAACCCTTGAAATGACCACTCCTTTCAATATTTCTCACAAGTAAACTAAAACATTTTACATAAATAGTAAATAAGAAAGGAGCAAGAGGGTCACATTGACGAAGACCACGGGATGCCTTGAAGAAGCTAGTAGGGCTGCCTTTGTATAGAATGGTAAAGTGTGCTGAGGATAAACATCTAAATATCCACTTTCTCCACAACTTCTCAAACCCTATATTTGTCATGATTTCGAGCAAAACACTCCACTCCACCATGTTATTAAGTCTTTTTCATATTCAGTTTAATGACCACCCTAGCACTCCCATTCAGAACTTTAAAATGAATACACTCCTCTGCCACTATTACACTGTCTGAAATCAATCTATCCTTAATACAAGCTGGCTGGGGACCTGAGATAATAGCTAGTAACACCCCCTTTAAACGTTCCGCCAGAACCTTCGCCACAATTTTATAAAATCTAGTCAAAAGACTAATGGGTCTAATGTCACAAAGAGTAGCAATGACTGACTTTTTAGGAATCAGTGCGATATAAGTGGAGTTAACCCCTCTAAAAAGTTCACCTCTCTTAAGAAACCCGTGTCATTTCCCGTAGTTCACCACAAATCAAATTCCAAAACTTATGAAAGAAGATTAAAAGGAAGCCATCAAGACCAGGTGCCTTATCGCCTGGCAATGCAAAAACAACATTTTTTAATTCCTCCATAGAAACATCTCTTTCTAGGAAAGACCTTGAATCTTAAGGTAGAACCTTGAACTCCACCCTAGTTAAACAAGGGATATGCTTCACCTCAGAGGTGAAAGCTTTTTGAAAATGATTAACAATGGCATTAGACATATCAAGACAATCCTCAACATTGACTCCTTAAATCACCAAACCAGATATGTCATGCTGACGACATCTTGCATTTGCTATGGCATAGAAAAACTTTGTATTAAGATGCCTATCTTTCAACCATTTCACTCTAGACCTTTGTCTCCAATAAATTTCTTCAGCTCTTCCATGCTCCTAAAGCTCATTTATTTTAGAGCTTCTCTCCAACATCCTTATCTTTCCTAGTTATTCTAAGAAGGCAACTTCACCTCGCCTGAAAATTAGTGACTGCAACATAGAAGTTGCAATTCGTCAGAAAAGCTAAGCTAGTTACGGTAAAAACTATGATTCTCGCTTGAAAAGTTGCAACTACAGTGGAAAAGGGTGCAATTTTGCTTGAAAACACCACTATTTTTACCAGAAAATCCTTTGAGACTCAACATAAATCAATGCAGTAAGCTAGAAAACCAGCAATTCCGGTCTGAAATGGGTAAAACTTGCTTAAAAAAACACTCTTCCCTTAACAACCTAGTATCCTAGCAAATAAATTATGTAATTCTCATCCAACAATACGACCATTTTCTCGAATATTCCCCGCAATTGTCACCGGAACAACAATCGCCTGTAACTCTTTTTTTCCCTCAATTTGTTTTTTGAATTTCCATGACAGAATAAGTAAATTTACATTCTAGATCATCTCTCTCCTCATATTATTACATCCTCAAATTAGTCTATTCCAATCTC